TGTCCTATTGCAAAATGGAAATGTCTAACATGAGTCACTGTCTCATATAAGTGGTTGGCCAGGTTCTGAGCCGGAGTGTAATTGTTGGAAGTATATAGTATATATAGGAAACTGAAAATGAACATGAACAATAGGCGGATCATGAAAATGGAAATGGATTATGAATTGATTTATGGAACTTGAACATTTATCAACTGCTAACGTCTTTAGTTATTGCTTCATACTGTGTTTAAGCATATATCTAGCTGGGCGGTGGCTCACCCATATTGGGACACATCATTTTCAGGTACAGGTAGTATATGCACCTCAGGACATAGCTTGGATGATGATGAGAGTGGAGACTCTTTTGTTATTTTGTTTGCATTAATGTATATCAAGCAAGGGCTTATTTTGTATAGAGTTAGTATATTCTTTTGTGTAACCAGTGTTGACTGGAAAGCTGTAAGCCCAATAGGGCATTCCTTTGTTGTTAACATGTATACTATTGTAAAGAACTAGTATCTCCTGATGAATATAAATGGTTGATTATTCTTTTAATAAATTGGGCGCCCATGGTCCCTGGGAACCAGATTTTTTTTTAAAGAATGGTAAATGTATTTTGAGGGTGTTACTAACTCCTGGTATGGTATCAGAGCGTACCGGGTTCGAATACTTTGGGTACGTGGGAAGTGATTAGGATCACAATGGGTTTGTCTCGTTTGATAGAGACTTAGATGTAGTGTCATATGCTATGTGCTTAATCGATAACATGCTTATGTGACTGTGTGGGTATGGAATGTAGTTTCTAGGATGTTGATTGGATCCTTGGGTTTCTGTGAGTCTTGTTGGAAAAGCACTTGATCAATGCTGTTTCTAACCGGAACTCTAGTAACGCCTCGGGACTATCATTTTCCAGAAATGAAATTCGTAATTGCTTATGTGATTAAGTGCTTACGTGGAGTGAATTACAGTTGTCCATGCATTAGGACGTGAGTGTTATAGTTTCGGCACATTTGTGAATGTGCTAACGGTCTTGGTTACCTTGATTAGGATGTCAGGACGAGGACGTGGTAGGCGAGGCAGACGTGGTAGGCAGGAGATGCCTTTACCGGACGATATTCTGGCACAGCAGGAGGGAGTTGGTCAGGCCAATGTGGCCGAGCCAGCGGATCAGCAGGCTATGAGTGCCTTGGCCCGAGAGATAGCAGGAGCTTTGGGTATTCTCAGAGCGGGGAATCAGGATCAGGCCAGGCCCAGGTCGTTGAGGCAGGGCCTTTCTTCTTGAAGAGGGAATTCTTCCGATCCAATCCGGACGAGTTTGTTGGGGATTCGAAGGAGCCACTTAAGGCTGACGAGTGGTTGGAACAGATGGAGAAGATGTTCGAGATGCATGGCATCGAGGACGGGGCTTTAAAGGTGACCTTGGCATCCTTCCAGCTGAAGGGAGATGCGGGTCAGTGGTGGAAATACGAGAAGGACAGTGTTGGTGGTGCATGGGA